GCAGCACTACGCGCGCCTCAGCAGCCTCCTGCGCCGCATCAGGGACAGCCCCGAGGCCTCGCAGGAGCTGATGCGCTGGGGGCTGCGCCTGGACCCGGACATCCACAGGGTAAGGGCTGCCAGGGGGGCGGTCCCCGAGCTCCCCACCCTGCCCGGGAATGGGGGCACCGGAGCTGCCGCGGGTCTCTGCTCCCTTCAGACCCAGGGCCGGGTCCTGCCCGTAGAGAGGATCAGCCTGCGGCACAACTCCTTCTTCCCGGCCGAGGACCTGAGCTGGAGCAAGGAGGTCACGCGAGAGCCCTCCATCTCGGCGGTGAGCCCTTGCGACAACATTCCCCTCGTTGGAAAGCTGGGAAGGCTTTTCCTCGTGCTGGCATCCCATCTGCTCCGCTCTGTGCTCATCCAAGCTCAAACCCTTCCCGTATTGATGTTGGCATTACGCTCCAGCCTGGTTTTCCTGAGGCGGCTGGGCGTTCGTGGCTGTGGCGTCTGCTTTCCCACCTCCTCCCAGGGTGGCTGAAGGCTTTCGGGATGCGGGAATTGGGTGTCAACCTGTGCCTTTGGATTCCTCTCGGGCCGCTCTCCTGGGTTTCCCTCCGCGCCGCGGGGCCGGGCGCTGCGTGTGTTGGCAGCCGTGTCCCCCGAGTCAAGGGCTTTGTCCTCTCCTCCCTCCGTAGGTGGCCATGAATTACTGGCTCCTGGTTTACCCCAAGCGCCTGCAGGACCTGGCCAAGGACTTGGTGGCCGCCATGGAGAGCGTCTGCAGCCCCATCGGAATGCGCGTCAGCCGCCCCGCCGTGGTGGAGCTCAGCGACGACCGCATCGAGACCTACGCCAAGACCATCCGGAGCGTTCTGGGCAGCGAGGTGAGGGCTGGCACTCGGAGAGGGGGGCATGGAGGGGTTAGCACGAGGTTTATGTCCGCTGGGGAGGGCTGGTGGGTCTTCCCGGTGCCGGCATCATAGAATCCAAGAATCATAGAATCATAGAATGGTTTGGGTTGGAAGGGACCTTAAAGATCATCCAGTTCCAACCCCCCTGCCGTGGGCAGGGACACCTTCCATAGACCAGGTTGCTCCAAGCCTCATCCAGCCTGGCCTTGGACACTCCCAGGGATGGGGCATCCACAGCTTCTCTGGGCAACCTGTCCCAGTGCCTCACCACCCTCTCCGGGAAGAATTTCTTCCTGATAGCGCCCTCCCCTCCGTGTTTCTCCCACAGGACAGGGTGCAGCTGCTCCTCTGCATCATCTCCAGCAGCCGGGAGGACTTGTACGGGGCCATCAAGAAGCTGTGCTGCGTGCAGTCCCCTGTGCCCTCCCAGGTGGGCTCGGGGCTCGGTGCCAGGGGACCGCTGGCACGGGGCGGGGGGAAGCCACAGACATCTCCAGCCTGGCTTTTCCCTGGGTTCTTTCTCCCCTGCCAGGTTATCAATGCTCAGACCCTCGCGGGTCAGAAGGGCAAGATGCGGAGCGTGGTGCAGAAGGTGCTGCTGCAGATCAACTGCAAGCTGGGCGGCGAGCTCTGGGGGGTCGACGTCCCCCTGGTAAGGCGGGCGAGACCGCGAGCCCTGCGTGTGCACGCTCCGGGGTGGGAGCTGTTGTGTTCGCGGGTTTCCCTTTGGGAATTGCGGGTGAACCGTCCGCGGAATTGGGGTTGGAGTCTCCAGTTTGTGTGTGAGATCCCTTGTAGCTGGAGGGATCCAGGCAGGACACTGTCTACCCTGTCTACCTCCCCCCTGCCTCATCCCAAACTCCTGCCTCCTCCCTGATCCCCGATTCCTGTCTCCTCCCTGAGTCACCTCTCCCTGATCCCCGATTCCTGCCTCCT